CCCCAAAACCCCAAAACCCCAAAACCCCAAAACCCCGTGATACACAGTCTGCTTAAAATAAAAAGATTTAATTTATTTCAATTAATTAAATATCCTTTGCAAATGTTACAATCCCCCTCAACTCAGGAAATGCACAGAAGCCCATCTCCTCATACTGACTATAACAAGTATCTTAATCCAGCGGATTTGTCTGGATATGGACCAAGATATGGAGGTTATTCACCATCAGAAAGAAAATGTAATTAAAGCTTGTTTAATTTCTCAAATAGCAAATTATGATAACAATTCTAGAAGAGGAAGTCCAGTAAGATCAAGACTATATATGGGTAATCAGATAAAATTATTTAGCTTATTTATCGTTTGGTTTAGATGCTTAAGAAAGAGCTGAGATAGAAGTTTAAGCTAGAGATGAGTACGATCATGCAGTAGATGAATTGAGACATACCGAAGGAATTACTGAAGAAGATGTCAAGGATTTTTAGAAGTCGATCATTATTAGAAAGTCAGTTGATGTAGTCAAGATATTGGCTGAAAATTAAGCTGAAATCAGAAAGAGAGCTGCAAACAATTACAGAGATGTCAAGTCAAAGGTTGCAAGATGCATCAAAGTTAGAAACAAGGCCGCAAAGCAAAGCAAGAAATAGAGATAAAACAATTTCGGTATATCTTAGGGCAGCGAGAGGAGCAGAGATGGTTCTTTCCAGTCATCTAATATGATGAAAACTTTCGACAATGGATCTATCAATATCCAGAATCAGTCATCTCCATTCAGATAAAGTCCAAGACTTCATGATCATCAAGATTAGATCAACAAAATTAATGAAGAAATCAAAGCCAAGCAGCTTGAATAGGAGAGAATTCAACAGTAAATAAATCAGACAAAAGTTGATTTTTCTAAGTCTTAGGGACCGTTGAAGGCTTCTGATTTGGTCATTTAAGAGAGACCATCCAGTCAGTAAGCAAGAAGACAGAAGGAAGAAGATGAAATGAATGCAAAGGCTTTAGCATTAGCATAGACATAGCCTAAGGCTGAAACTTAAAAGATGGAACCAACTGTTATATAAGTCAAAAAGAAGGAAGAACAGCAATAGTAATCAAAAAATAAAGGTGTTGACAGCTAAATAGAAAGAACAGGATCAGTAGAATTTATAGAAAGAAGATCTGATTATCATAAGCCAACGACTAAGATTGTAAGCAAGAAAGTCAATCCTTCACAAGAAGGTCTGCCTGTATCATTTACAAAGACTAACAGGAAAATTGGATAAAATTCAGGGCTTTAAGGTCCAGCTATTTAAACCTAGTAGTAAACATAGCCTTAGATTTAAGTGAAGACTTAAGTTGAGGCATAAATCCAACCAACAAACATATAAATTCAAACTTAAAGTTAGGTAAAGGATTTGCCAAAGCAATAAGAAGAGCCAGTTGATGATTATCAAGAGAGTTTTGGATAGTTAGCTTAGAAAACAAAATCTGAGATTTAAAACTAAGAAGAAGAGCCAAATAGATTTTTAAATAGAGACCTCGAAAACAAGACTACAGCTATTTAGGAGGAATTCGATGACTTACTTGAGTCTTTGATGAACAATAGAAATCAAAGAGATCCAGGTGAATTCTACAAGATTATGAATGAATTTTACGGCAAAGGACCTGATGACTTGAAGCATGATTCACCCACTAAGAGACTGATTAGTCATAAAAATAGTACTACTGATCATAAAAAAGTAATGGCATCAAATATTCAAAGAGGCGAATACTCCTAAACTTACTGCGTATCTCCAGGAAAGAGTTACATTATTGAGCCTCATGGCGGAGAGCTTAATTACAACTTAGCTCACAAAAATCCACTTAAATTCTATGATCAAGTATTGAATCAAGATATCACCAAGCACAAATTCAAGCAAGATGAGTCCTCTCCAACTAGAAGACCAAAAGTTGAGATCTCTTCTAAAGTTACAAAGAGACCTTTATAACTGATCATTGAAAAAATTAGATCTAAAATTGAGGAGTAACTAAGACAAAGAATAGGAAATTAATACGGCCTCACTATTACTTAAGCCTTGAAAGATTAGGGCATAGAGCAAACCTTGAAAGTTATGATGGCTGAAGATAAAATCCAATTAGTAAATCAGAAGAATGAGCCTGTATACCAATAATAAATATACCAGGCTGCTTAAGAAACTCACATTGCTCCAGACATTGAAATAGAGGCAGTATCACCAGACACAAAATCAGCAAAGACAAGATTATCAATGAAGCAATAAGATTTAGAAAAGGTCGAATCAGAGGTTAGAAACTTCATCAGAAGAAACTCCAAATTCCCAGTCGACGTCTGAATAAATTCAAATCTCCAGGAGGCAACCCTCCACTGATTTCTCGTTATTTATTTAACATAAGAATTTATTTTATTTCTTCTTATCTCTAAATGGGTCTCTAATGGGGTTTTGGGGTTTTGGGGTTTTGGGGTTTTGGGG